ATAAAGCGCAAAGATAAAGTCTGGTTTTGCTGGACACCACATTCCTCACACTAACACATAACAGCACGACAATCTTAATGCAGACTGCTCAAAAGCTGTGCTATTTCAAACCTGCAGTCTTCCCTGGAAGAATTTTAATAGAGTTTTTATGAATAGCAGTCTAGCAAATAGCATGTAGGACTGCATACTGAAGTAACACTATGTTTCGTACATCAAAGGAGAGATCAGATGCTTAGAATTGCAGAAGGATTTTGGATGGAAAGGACTTCAGGATGTCACACAATGTACGTCACACAAAACAGAGCTCACATTCAGTAACAGCAAGTTTCCACAGCCTCATTTTATCAGTAACAGTAAGCTGAAAAGTTGGCTTCAGTTGTTTTAAGTAATTTTCAACTAGCAAGAATGCAATGTTAATACCTTAATGCACACAATGAACTGAGAGCTTCACCTCGAAACCCAAACGTTTCAACGTGTGTTAGATCAGAAAAATCTTGTATCTTTGACGTATAATGTTTCAGAGCTGGAAAGAGATATTTAGAGTATAGATTTCACTTCCAAGTGACAGTGACACTAGGCCACACGAGTACATTTTCCATATATACCAGACTTCTGCAATTACTTTTCAACATACAATGAGTAATAGCAACAAAACAAGACTTTCCTTTCCCCTTCACAAGCTCACTTTTAAATCCTCACACATCCTGCTGTGCCACAATTACCACCTGAAATCAATACAGCAGGACTGGCACACACCACAAGGTGCCTCAGAGCAGCACAGGTCAGCTGCTTCTGCCACCTATTTTACTCTGCAGGAGAACTGCAGGGCCATGCCGTGCAATGTTATACAGCAAACAGGCATGGGATCCTGTGCCACAACCACAGCCTGAGGAGTGCTCAATTCTACGCAATCAGCCAGCACCCATCACCAGGTAACAAACTGCAGCCCTGGACCTTCCCTGTGCTGAACAGTAGAGGAGTTCACTGCCTACAGGATAAACACTGCGAGCACAACAAGTAACACAGTAACTCGTGGTGAAAGAGGTCTCGAATGGTGATGTGGAGGAAGAAACAAGGCAGAAAGCAAGCAGTTGCACTCGTCAAACAGTGCTGCTTCTGCTCCTGTTTTGCACGGCTGAAACTAGCAGAAGGAAGGTTTGGCAGCCACGTGCACGCAGTCGGCTCCCATTCAGCATGCACTCTATCTATAGTTTACTTCCCATGAAGTCTGGCTCCTTCAGCAGTGACTCACAACTCACCATGAATAGATGAACGTTTCTGGGACATTCTCCTCCACAATGACACCTACTCTTTGCTCCCCTTAAGCAAACAAGCAAACCAAGACCTGCTTCTGAACTACAGCAAATACAACAAGAGCACTTCAGAAGCCCATTCGAATTTGTAAAGAGCAGCAATCATATCTCACCTAAAATATACCTCCAAAGCATCTAAACGTAAATTATGAAAGCCGTTTAACTTACTTAATCCTGCAAAGTTTTCCTCTTCCACTCCACCTCCATTATCCGAAACCTCTATCAGCTCCGCCCCGTGGTCTTTAAGCCTTACATCTACAAACACGAGAAATGAAGTCTTTCAGAGCTGTTAACACACAGCGTTGGGTATCAGCGCGGTACTTGGAATAACTCCCGCCAACGGCCGTTCTCCAGGACAAGTCTGAAGCAGCAGCCCCGCACCGGGGCACCGTCAGCACCCACCGCACCCAGCGTGCGGGCAGGGCAGGGCAGGGCAGGGCAGGGCAGGCCCGGCTCCGTCCCGAGAACCGCCCCGAGCCCCACGTTTGTGGCGCCTGAGCGGAGCGCCGAGATGCGGGCGGTACCGAGAGCCCGCGGGGCCGCGAAGCTCCGACGGGAGGGCCGTTACCGATGCTGGTCGCTCCGGCGTCCAGGCTGTTCTCCACCAGTTCCTTCACGGCCGTGCCCAGGCTCAGCACCACCTGCCCCGAGCAGATCCGGTGCACAGACTCGCGGTCGATGCGCCTGATGGCCTCGGCGGGCTCCGAGCTGCCAAAAGAGGGGCGGAGACAGGCGGGCTGAGGCGGCGCGGCACGGGAACCCGCACGGCCGCCCCGAGCCGCACGAGCCGGAAGGGGAAGAAGCGAAAAGCCGAGGAGACCGCGCTCGCTCCCGGGAGGGGCGGGGAGGACCCCGCCGCCTCGGGCCGCTCACCAGGGCGCGGCCGCCTCCATTGATTCCCGCCGATCGCCTCGGCCGCCCGCAGGCCTGGCCCCGCCCCGCCCCGCCCGGAACAGCGCCCGTCTCTCCCTGCCGAGTCACTGACCTCATTGGCTCGGGCCAGCCAATAGAAAGGAGACGAGGAAACGAGACGAGCGAGCATTGGGTGGTGGGAGAGTCCGTAAAGACACGCGCTCCCTCTGGCCCAATGGGCGCGGCGGGTGGGCGGGGCCAGGCGGGCTGAGCGGCGCCGCGCGGCGCAGAGGGGCGCCGAGCAGGGAGCCGCCATGCCCATGTACAAGGTGAAGCCGCTGCACGGCGCCGCGGGCCCGCTGCCGGCAGAGCAGCTTCCCAGCTGCATGTACCGCGTGCCCAGCCTGCACCGCTGCGCCACGCCGCAGGTAGGAGCGGGGGCTCGGCACGCCCGAGCCTGGCTGCCGGGCGGCGGAAGCGCGGCGCGGCGCCGCGCCCGGCCTCTGGGTTGCCCCCCTTCCGCCGGGTTCCGGCTCCGCATCGCGTTCTGCGGGCTCCCCGCCCGCCTACCTGCCGGCCTCCGCTCCCGGCGCTCCGCACCCCGCTCTGCCCTCCGCGCGGAGCGGCCTGGGACTGCGCAGGGCCCGGGCGGGCTGGCAGCGCGGCTGTCTGCCTGGAGGTTTTCCTCTCACGTCGTTGGAGGTTGCAGAGTCGCGGCGCCGGCTCGACGCAGCCGGCGGGTAACCACGAGCGTTTCCGACACTCGAGACGTAGCTCAGCGCTCACCTCGTCCGCACGCACGCGAGGCAGCTCAGATACAGACCTCGCCTTTCCGCGGTGAAGGATGAGGATGCGAATAGCACCTCTAAAGGCTTTCAGGGTCGGGCGAGCTGTGCACTACGTGGCCCCCGAGCTGAGTGAACCCCGACGGGACTTTCTCTCCTCTAGGAAGAAGTCGACCCGTCGCTTCAAGCCCTTGAATCCCGCCAGGAGGAGATCCTGAAACGCCTGTATGAGCTGAAGAGCGCCGTGGATGGGCTCTCAAAGATGGTACAGACTCCTGATGCTGACTTCGATGTGACTCACGTCATTCAAAATGATGAGTCTTCTCCTCTGACGACAAATGGAGCGGATTTAGACTTGATGCTTGGAAAGGTAAGCTGAGTTCAGCACATACAATGGTGGGTGGTTTCTTTGCCCTCAGCTCAGAAGGGGTGGAAGGGTGGTGTTAAGACTTGGAGCCCCCAGAACTCACAAAATTTTGACTTCAGATTTGATAGAATTTACTGCAATATCCATAAACGTTGAAGAAGGAAGATGTTTAAATTTTTCGGTGATTTAAGTGTCAAAACTTGTTTACCCCTGGAGTTTTAAATACATGCATGGCTATATACATCTGGCAAGTGTCTTACCTGACTGTTTTTTCCTTTCTATTCAGGATTACGGTGCCCTGAAAGATATTGTAATCAATGCAAATCCTTCTGTGCCCCCACTGTCCTTATTAGTAGTGCACAGCCTGCTCTGTGAGCGCTACAAGATACTATCAGCCGTTCACACACATTCATCAGTGAAAAGCGTGCCAGAAAAACTCCTGAAATGCTTTGGGGAGCAGATGAAGAAGCAACCACGCCATGAGTATCAGTTGGGCTTCACTCTGATATGGAAGGATGGTAAGAATAAGTTATCTTCCAGAGGAATACAATAGGTCAGAAAGTGAAACCTGTGCTATAGAACAGATGCTTTGGTGTAAAATGGCTGATAACGTGATGGACAGGTAGCATCTCTGCTCTTCTTGCAAGTATGAACTTTTGATAGCTGTGAGCAGTGGTGGGAACAGAGAAATAAAACCGAGTTACTGCTATTAAAACACAAATGACATTTAAAAGGCAGCTATTTGAAACTCTCATCTCCAGCAATCCTGTGGATACAGTTTCTACAAAGATTGGCTGAGAGATTTTTCAATCTGCAGTCCAATGGGAGCTTTTTTATGCCAGGTTATTGCTTTAGTTTAAGTATTCAGACTAAGAAAACTGAAAAACTGTTGTCAAGTTCACATTAGAAATGCTGATGGCATCAGAAACAAAATAAATCTTACCAATGTACTTAGCTTCTCTACAGTAATCACTTTTCTCTTCTTGATTTCAGTTCCAAAACCTCAGATGAAGTTCAGCATTCAAACGATGTGCCCAATTGAAGGAGAAGGGAACATTGCTAGATTTCTCTTTTCCCTTTTCGGCCAGAAGTACAATGCCATTACTTCAACTCTGATTGACAGCTGGGTTGACACAGCCATCTTCCAGCTCAAAGAAGGCAGCAGTAAAGAAAAAGGAGCAGTCTTGCGATCCATGAATGCTGCCCTGGGCAAGACATCGTGGTTGGTGGGAAGCGAACTCACCGTGGCAGATATTGTCGCGTGGTGTGTGCTTCAGCAGACAGGCAGTGCAAATGCTGCACCAGCCAACGTGCAGAAATGGATGAAGTCCTGTGAGAACTTAGCACCTTTCAGCTCTGTTATTAAGCTACTGAAATAAGTCTGTACCTGTAGATAAACAGGGTGATTTTAACCTACTCCCAACCCACACCTACTGTCATGGTTTGAATCCTTTATGAGAGCAGTTTCTGCAGTTGGATAGAATTCTAAAACTAATAAAAACATTACAGCTGCCTTTTGTATGCGATCTTCCTTTTTAGCTGCTGCATGAGAAACACGTTTGTTTAGTTACCTAAAGCAGTCCTATGCAAATACAAGCTGTATTTTGAATTTTTCCATCTTTTTTCTCTCTACAATTTAACTTGGAATCTTTTCTGTTTAAAGAACAGACAGGAAAATCAAAATGCACCAAACTATTTTTATGTAAAAAAAAGAAAGTTTTTCTATAACTTAACATACAGTAGTTGTGTTCTTCCTGTACTTAAACTGGAGAACCTTGTTTCATATGTTCATCTTGTCCAGAGGAAAGCAGTCTTAGTTTCTCTTTCAGCTTTTCTATTTCTTCTTCTTGCTCTCTCACCTTTTGCTGTAGATTAGAAATAACCTGGAGATGTGAGACAGCTGATTTATTTACAGGCAGGGATAAATCCTCATCAGTCTATTGGCACATCTGTAGTCAACTACAAATAAGATTCTGCAGCACAGATCTTAGTGGCAAGGAAAGGGATAACTGTAACAAAGACTGCAGAGCTGACAAAAAACCTCAGTCTGTAAATCAAGTGTCCAGTCTTAAGTTACCTGCACTTATTGGCTATTTTTCTCCTTTAAAAGAGCTGGAAACAGTGGCCTAAATATTCTAACAGGGAATAAAGATCTCAATCACGCAATTCTCTTTAAGTTTTTTAAAATAGGCACAACAAGACAGGAAAGGTAAGGAGATTGTTACAAAGCAATTTAGCTTTGATATTTTTTATCCTGAAGGCTGATGTTGGCAGTACTTACGTGTTCTGTGGTATGAAACAGCTCACTGTCACGAAGCTGAGCAGCACTTGGTCTTTCTGTGGATACCTGACTGGTGAGAAGTTTCACATACTTGGCTTGAACAGGCCATTTCTTGTAGAAGTTACGAGGAATGTGGCCATTCCTTACATTTGTTATAACTTCTGCTCTTTCCATTTCTGTTCCAAATGGCTGGAAGAGTTCCAGCAGGATAACACCCAAGCTATACATGTCTGACTGAAAAAGGGCGAAGAAAAAGTTCTGGGATAATTTCTACTTCAAAGGACCAACCAGATTTCATCTCACAAATACTGCAGTGAGGCTTATGACAAAGTTTCAGGATAAGAAAAGTTCTGTGGCACTACTGAAGCAACTCAAATTCAAATCCATACAGATTCTTCAAAATGATCTCAGAAACACAACTTCTGTATTTAGCAGGCAAAGCTGAAGTCTGTTTCAGCAAAAAATGGGAGTAACAGTAATTGACCAAATTGTTGGAAAAAAGAAGAAAAAGTTGGAAAATTAACCAACAATGACATCACTGAGAAGCTTATGCTTTATTCCTATGATGTCCTACGTATGCCTTACAGAAACAAGAATCATTTTACTGTCAGACTTTCTTTTCAGATGAGTGATGCTATTAAGCATATAGTTTCAGTATAGTTACCTGCATAACATTTCAGGTTATGCAGGTAGACATAAAGTGTTACCCTGGACAATCTGAATATCAGCACTAATCAGATAATAGCATTTAAATGTGTTAGCATTTAAACTCATAGAGGAGGGGTAAAAAACAAAACCTACCTTGAAGTCGTAGTCAGACCCCTGCAGCTGTTCTGGGGAAGCATATAGGCAAGTCCCCACACCTGAGGTATGTGTCAGTCCTTTAAAACATGAGTTTAGACTTATTAATGTCTTAAATATGCTAGAAACTTAAAACACTGAAACCTACAAACATTTCTGCTCTTACCATTTATCCTTCCTGTGTGAAACCACTGGTCTGCATCATCCCAAAGGAGGTCTTGGCAGGCTAATCCAAAATCTCCTATTTTAACTTGATGATCTGATCCATGCAAAAATATATTTCTGGGCTACAAAATAAGACAGTGTGAAGTATTAAGATATCTATATAAAGGATTATGAATTGCTGAAGTTGCATTCAGCTGTTTCAAAACCTGTTGCATCCAGTCATTCAGATGTGTAGGACAATGATTCTTTCATACTTTCATCAGTGAGATAGAAGAAAATAGTCAGAGTGTTTCAAATATTCACCACCATTTGGGCAGAAAGACTACTTACGAAGGATCCAGGAAAAAAAAGAAAAGAAAAACGGAAAAAAAAGGTGTAGCTAAAAGATAATGTATTTCTCAGCAGGAAATAGCAGTTTTTCAGAACAGTAATGTTAACAGGCAAGAGTGCACAGCAAGTGAGACCTAAGTAGCAGAAATCAGTACTGAGATCACTGGGCAAGACCTCACATAAAACAAGAGTCCTCTAAATGACAAGCACAGCTGCAAAGTGCCAAGTGTTTTTCTTGGAAAGCTGGAATGGAAGCAGTTGCTGAGGCTGCTGAGTGGAGCACTGCCTGCAGAAACACTGAACGAGTTGTCCATTTATTTCAGCTGCACAAGCAGGGCTGAGACGCGTTAGGAGCACGTGTGCAGGGCGAAGGAATACTTGCCACTTAAAAGAAAACAACATCCAATTACTGTTCTTTACTTACTCTGCAGCAGTTTCTGAACTTAGTGCAGTGCAATGAGAACTGCAAACAATGTTGCTTCATACAGACTTCTCTTCTACTAAATGATCAGCTCTAGCAATACAGCAAACAGAGCAGAAGCCTTTCTTCAGTTTTTAAAACTTTTGCTGCTTTTGCAATACTTTCAGAATAGCACAATTACTTCACAGCTGTTCTAGAATCAGGCAGCCCAAAACATCACAAAGAAAGGCACTGCTCAAAGGAAAGAGATCAAACCTTTCAGTTCTGATTACGGATTGTCATTACAAAAACTGTAACTCCCTTGTCTGCCAGTAGCAGAGTAAGCAAGACAGCCAGCAGCACTGCCTCTGCCTGTGCTTGCCCTGTGTTCTTGTGAGGGCAGAGGACACAGTTTGCGCTGCGAAGAGCTACATGAAATCATGATGGAAAATGGCGGGAGTTAAAGCTTTACCATCTGTTAGCAAATAGCGAGTGCTTGGAAAGACCCCCACCTCACAGACCTGCTCTCCCTCCAGGTAACACTCCATGTGTTATTGATATGTATTTATTTATTTTTAAATTCAAAAAAAAAACAAAAAAAACCATTAAATGATTCTGGTTCCTAATAAGATCAGACTCATAAGTCTTCATAAAATCATAAAGAGGTCACTGGAACTGCAAGCATAAATAAGTGTTACTGTGGGGAGAAGCCCCTGGGGACTCCCAGCTCACAGCACAGGCCTCTAGGTCTCACGTACCTCTGAAGGATCAGACTAACAGGAATTTCAGAAAGAATCTGTCAGGACCCTCACTGATCTGAGCTGCAGTGAGGCAACAGGAAAGGTTCCTACAGAAAGTAACCTGTTTGAAGCCGTGAAAGAAAGGATCGGGACAAATGGTCACAGTGAAGCTTTCACAGTGGAGGATATCAACAAGCAATTGTTTTATTGAGCCGTGCCAGGAACTCACTGAACAACGTATTCATAAATGATGTAGAAAAAGGGTGAACAGTGAGATAAAGTTTGCTGGCAGAGAAATAAAGATGAGGTCTGAATGCCAAGAATCATAAAAGGATCTTGCAAGTCTTAACAGGCAAAAGGAATTCAGTGCAAATAAACATTACAATGCAAATAAAAGGAAAATCAATTTTACACGCACAACAACTATCTCTGAGCTGATTTACTGTTCAAGAGTGGTAACAGCCCTAAAAACAGCAATTTGATGCTCACTGCTGCTTCATGAAGCAAAATGCACATCAACTTTTTTTTTTTTTTTTTTCCTTTGCAGAGGGTAGGGGAGATGAAGAAGAAAACATTACACAGTCCTGTACAAATTAATGAACTGTCACCTCCAATACTGCCTCTCATCTCAAATACAATTATAGAAACACAGAACATCCCTGGTTGGAATAACACATAAGAGAAGTGGAATGATGTGCAGAAACAGTTGACAAGAATGTTGAAAATTTGCAATGTCTTTGATTCAAGGAATCACTAAATATAAAACATAAGACAACCTGTTAGGTTTAAAACAGATCTATTAAATCAAACGTAGAATGGAAAGAGTGAGTAGGAAATACTACTCAGTCTGTAATTTGTGTAAACAGCAACCAAAAACAGAAGCAGTACCTGTTGTCTCAGACTCATTATTGTTGACTATACTGCTGAAACTGAAAACTTATCATGGTAATTTTTAAAACAACATTTCCTAATCTGAATAGAGAAAAAGAGGCAAGAATCAGTCACAAGTTCATGGAGCCACAAGTGACAAGTTTGTCCTAGAAGCTGCTTAATATTGCTGGTTTGCAATAAATCTGATGACAGAACTGACCCATAACAAACTGCAATCCACACATCCAGAAGCACTGCTAGATTGTATCACAGATCCACTGGAACTTCTGCCTGCTTATGATTCTTCTGCGAGTTTCACTGACCTGAAATCAAACTATATTGACACATATTCCTGGGAAATACAGGAGGAAATCTAAGTATAACACCATTTGTTGCATTCCTGCTAAGCACATGGGAGCAGTGATTAACAAAAATAAGTTAACGATCCAGCTGCTCTTCGGTCATTGCCATCCATAGAGCTTGCTCTGTTTTGTGACCTTACTGCGTTATACTCCACCAGTCCAGAAGTATTTTTTTCCTCAGTAAAAATGAACTAATTTGAAGCTATGTTTTACGTTACAGAAATAACCAGAGGCTACACAGCACTCCATCTCCTACTCAACTTGCCCAGTGCCTGCAGAGCTGCGATGTCCACTTGAGGCAAATCTCAGAGAAGTTGGCTGGCTTCACAGAGTAACACAGAAGAGTGTCTCTATCTTGCACAATGTAAAACACCAGATAAAGCCTGAAATGAGTAACTGCAACTGTGACCACCTGGTACACTCAAGTCAACAGTCTGATGATGACTTTCCACCTACATCCATTCTTTTTGAATACTGTCTCAACACAAAGGACACAGCCAAATCTGGCTGGATGCCTCTTCACATAGCTGCAGGGTCACTGAATGCAGAGGCAACAGCAACTTTAATTGCATCTGGAGCAAACACCAATTCTACTATTACAACTTGTGGCAGAACTGCCCTCCACATTGCAGTGTGTGCAGCATCATCCAAAGCAAGCAGAATTTTAGGTGTCAACATAGATTGCATCTCTTTACTATTAAGTAATGGAGCCAATGTAAATATCCAGGATCACGAAGGACGAACAGCTGTGCACGAGGCCTGCTCAGGGGGTAGAAGGGAAATAGTCCATCTCCTGTTGGAGTATAAAGCAGACATGAACAGTCTAACAAGAGATGGACAATCTCCAGTCTTTCTTTTTCTTCAAAAGAGATCACATTTAAAAGACAGAGCACTGCTGAACAAGTTGCTGGGATTCTCATATCCACTGAAGTTAAGAGATAATCAAGGAAATCTACCCACTGGCCTTCTGTTCTCAGAATTCCAAAAGCTGAAGGACTTCCTTCTAACATTATCGCAGAAATTACTGTCCCTGGAGGATATCTGCAAGATCACTGTTAGAAGAATATATGGAGAGAACAGCAAGTACTGGCTCAAAACCAGGCTTCCAGCAACTGTATGGAAATCATTATACAGCTATCAGAATGTAGGAAAACTCGCCTGTGATGACACTGAACGGGAAAGCAAACCGAGATACTGTAAACCCTGAACAGCCTTAGAGAAATTAAAATTGATCCAGAATGAAGATTAATGTTGTGTTTTCTGAAGTAGCTCCAAATTTTCATTTGCAGAGTTTTAATTACCAAGGTAATATTTACACTGATCTCCTCAAAGAGCTGCCATCTCTTTGTGCAGAAAGCTTCTGAAGGAAGCACAGCAGAATACATACTCACTTCACTGCTAGTGGATTACACGAGGTTAAGCAGGAGTGAGGGGGGGAAAAAGCAAGGTGTAGTCAACCTACACTTCACATTTAAGCTAGCCTGTAAGTTAAAACTACTTTTTTGATTAAATTTAAAAAAAAAAAAAAAGAAAAAGCCACACACAAAAAAAACACAACGAAGGAACACACAAAAAGCATCTACTGCAATCCATTCAAAGTGTATTATTCTAAGTCTGATCTTCACTACATTTAATAGGAATTAAAATAAACTTTTAATTCCTTCATCGAAGTCACCTACAGTCTGAGTCCCTTACATGAGACCAGAACTATTCTGAAAGACAGGAATTAATTTGTAAATGAGGGAAAACTTAAGGAGAAAAAAAACCTATAATTTGAACATATCACAGAATGGCCAGGGTTGGAAGGGACCTCAAGAATCATGAATCTCCAACCCCCCTGCCACAGGCAGGGCCACCAACCTCCCCCTTTAATACCAGACCAGGCTGCCCAGAGTTTATTTTTCATCTACAACAGAGCTAAATTTAAGAGCCCATATCACCTCAAAAGTTGTGAAGCTGTTTTTTTTTCTCCCATCACAGAAGCTACCCTTGTTTTCTTTAGCCTCAAGTAATAGCCTAACAAACTTACTTTAATGTCTCGATGCATCACTCCCATGCTGTGGATATAGCACACTCCTTCTAATAACTCTTCAAAAATTTTCATTGTCCAGCTGACATCCACAAGATGGTATGGACCTTGAAGCAATTTACAATATACATTATTTGGCTAAATTTTGACGAGATATTTAAGTTTATGTTACTATGTCTCACTGAAACCAGTTTATTTATGATATGGAAAAAAAATTTAATGGAACAAGCACGGTTTAAAAGATGGCATTTCCCACAGTTCTCCTAAGAAAGTATTTTGAAACCCTAGAAAGTCACTAAGCTCAGAATGCAGGTCGGTTCCTGGAACATCACTGCATCTGCATGCAGGTTTCTCCAAGTCCCACCGCACAGTTGTACGATTATGAATTTAATGATCACAAATCTGAAGTACCTGCATTCACTACCTGTCCATTTGTCTCTGACTGGAATTCTGCCAATCTGCTTTGAACGAAGAAAAAAAATAACTACTGCTTAAACAACCTTCTGACAAAGAGCAGATTCTCTCATTTAAAAACTGCTCCAAAGCAAGCATCACCCATACAGAGCTCTGTGTTGGTAACAAGTACGGCTCTGGCATACATTCATTCTTTTTCAGAGCTGTCTGAAACTCACGAACTTGAATCTCTTTTAACAACATCTATCATATGAAGGTTCAATACTAGCAGCTATTGGATGAAAGGAATAAAGAATCCAATTAAGAAGACCCATACCATAAGCTGCTGAATTAAAACATCCTGCAAATGGACTTCTAATTGAGAAAAGGTCACCATTTGCTTTACAGCAAGGAAACTTTAAAAACAGCTATGAATCTTACCAGCAGCATCCTCTGTTTTCTCACTGCACCTTCTGTTACGGGCAGCAATCCAGTCCCACAAGGACAGTTCACACAGTTGCATCTGTATATAAAGCATCAAACGATACTCCACCTAACAGCAAAACATGGTACTGCTGATGTAATGAACAGCATCACCTTACTTATCTTCTTTAAAGGCAACAGAAACTAAATTTATCTTAAGCCAAAATTCAGTTACCAAAATGACAACAGATACAGTACTACTGCTATCTAGTTTGGGCTTTGATTTTGCTGCTGCTGTTCTTCCTCAAATTTTAGCAATTGTTATAAGACCAAAGCTAACAGAACAGCCAGCTAGATTTATTATATATATTTAAAGATTCAAATGAGACTATAAAAGCAGTTAGAATTACTGCATGGAGGTTCATTCTGACTTAATAGCGTAAACAGATATAAAACAAGAAAAGTCAACCTGTTGATATGGAACTATATTTACACAAACATGTAAAGTCATTCTCAGACAATGCATGTGCTCATTTGAAAATCTGGACAACTCAAACAGACACCTTTAAAACCTGAGATTTCTTTCACAAGGGAATGGCAACTGATAGCAAAGGCTTGAAACACTCCTGAGCTGTCTGCATTGTACAAAACACCGCAGGGGTAAAACGCCAACAGAGTTTAAGAGGCGTAAGCAGAGTGGTCATTCCTTCCCTCTCACATGTAATCTCACGCTGGACAGGGTCAGCATCACATACCCAGGCACTTTCACCAATATCTAAACTAGCTGCTGTTGCTGAATATTGAAAATGTTCAAGTCTGTTGGTTTGTTTTCTTGCTCAGAAACACAGGAGTAGTACTTTTTACTCATGTAAGCACATCAAAAGGACCCCGAATGACTAACAGAGACTTTTCTGTATGTGAGTTTTGCCACATACACATTGCTCCTCTGGTCGTTTTCCTTGTAATTACTCAAAGTAATAAGAGTCAATACTTTCGGTTCTAATAAAAGTCCTTTAAAATTTATCATTATAAACAATTCCTGCAACATCCACATTTTCCTTTGCAGCCTTCATGAAATCAGACAGCAGCTAGATGTACTTAAGGAGAGCTGAACTTACCTCAAACCCTCCACAGAGAGCTACATCATTCCCAGAGCACTCTTCAGTGCAGGACTCACTTCCAGCACTAGCATCTAGATCCAGACTACAGGGATGGCCGTATGATGAATCATTTTTAAAATCAGTTGATCTACAGTCAACACTACTGACAGAGTCTGCTTGTAGTTCTACGGGCGATTCACATCTATTTGGTTTCATACCTATTTCCTTACTATTGCTGTTAGTGAAATCATTCCTTACATCCATATTCTGCACCAATTCACTATCCTGATTTCCAAGATATGTACTGTCGCCAGACTTTTCTTCTTGTGAAGTAAGGTCAGCAAAAATAATTGAACTACCACTTTCCACACTCTGAATGTGACAGTGATCACTGAAAAGAATAAAGAGAGAGAAATCTAAATGCAGAGTTTTATGCCATGCACTTGCAATACGCCATTCTGAAAACTTCATTTTTTATTGCAAACTGTACTCCAGAGTTAAGAGTTCAGCTACTTCCCCACATAGAACTTTAGGATCATGAACTGCCAAGTGTTGGCTCCAACCTTTTTATATTCTCCCTGAGCATGGATTTCTGGCAGCTGACCCAGATAGCTCACAGACACACACAGCCATAGGTCACAGTATTCACTGGGTAGAACTATGATGATTCTCTCCTTTTCAGTTAGGAAATTACACTGTAATATTTTTCATCGGACTCCACCTCCTTACCAAAAAGGCTAATCAACACTTCTGAGAAACAGAAGGCCCCACTGCCCTAAAAAGACTCTGCAGTATTAATCAATGTCGGCAAACACCATAAAGCTTTTGAAGCAAACTTGAACCCCATACTACACTCAGGCACTCTGAAATTGTGAGATCCAAGGCAGGCAGGGGTATCCAGCAACATTCTTCAACTCAACCAGAACAGAAACAATGACAAGGATAACTAATGCTTTTTCCTTGTTGTAATTAGAAAGTAAAAAGCAACACGCGCTGAATTCTGTACTCTTTTAACACTATTTAAAGAAAAATAAAAGCATTTGAATTAAAGAGAAAGAAATGTTATCATTGAGGTGTGTTATACTTACTTGCCACTCTCCTGTTCCAAGGGTAACGACTGCAACTTCAATATTGTCTTATCTATTGGATGAGAAGATAGGTATGGTACGTCAGGAAACAAAACATGCACATACGTACTACAAAGCAATGTTTAAGCTACAGCATCTTCCTGAACTCCACTATTTGTAAATATCTTTCTCTTTGCAATACAAAAGCCATTTCTCAGACTAAGAAACAACCCTGAGTAATCTGTTCTTCCTTTTTCTTTAAAAGAAATTAAACATTATAAGAAATCTCTGGAAGTGTTATATTTGATTCCTCTACATGTTCACCCAGCTTTGATCCTTAATTACTCAGCCAGTTCAAAATAAGGCCTTAAGTATAAGATACACTATAAGATATATACGATACAGTATAAGATAAGAACACACAGCTAAAGAAACAACTTCACAAGGCACCCCCGTCTGCATCACTTTGCTGCTGTTTTGAAAATATCTGAAATAATTTTCAATAAAATTGTGTACTCACATGAAAAATAAATTTATTTTAGCACACATTTCAGAAGCAAATACAAAATAACTGTCTTCTAAGCCACAGAAAACCATTAAGTACCACAATACCCACTTGTTACACTTTCAACATTAAATGCCTGTAAGGTATTCCTAGCACTTAGAAGTTGTATCCTTCAAGATTCTCAACATCACAGACTTAAAAAGACTTGTCTATTTCACTATACTATCAACTAAGTATTTTCTTTTGTGCTTATAGCAGGCTGGAAATCAATTCACTGACATGAAAAACAATAAGGTCAGACAGAGGATAAGCAAACCTCCCACTAAGTGAAGATCAAAAGATTTAGCTGCATTCCGGAAGAGAATGAGAAAGAAAAGTCACCAACAGATTAGGGTTTGAAAAGGACCAAAGGACAAAGTGTGGGAAGAGCTGAGAACAGAGAAACCAGGGGAAAAAAGGGGAGGGGGGAAGGGGGCAAAGGATGTGTAAAATGAACATAAAAGGAGATTAATTCTCCTTTTATATATATATATATATATATATATATATATATATATATAAAAATAATAACCAGTACAAAAAAAAAAACCAACAAACAAACAGATTATCTGTAACTGCAGAACTCTATTTGTCAAATTTAAAAGTCTTGCAGAAAGCAAAATAAGAGACAGGGTTTTTTTGCCTTTTGATTGTTTTTTCCCTTCTGAAGTACTTCTAGGTTCTTTCAGGTTTTCAGAACTGTTTTCTAAGTAGAAAGAGGAGCATAGTGGGAGATTTACCCTACTTTGCCACAACCATGACATTTCAAAATATTCCTAGTTTGTGTGGGTTTTTTACTCCTATTCATCACTTGTTCTCCAGTAGCTGAAGTGGTTCATCCCCAAGCATTCTTCTTCCCCTTCTTAACTCACTACATTTTGAGTTAAAACTTTTTATTGCATTTTACTTAACCTCAGCCAACTTTAAAATCCTTGCCAAATATTTCTGGAAGAAAAGCTAATGCTTTCATACTTCCAAATTCATTACTGAGTAACAGATAAGCAAGAATTGCTCAATATGCTGTACTTTCCTTTCGGGCAAGCTGTTTGAACCTGTTCCATCCAAGCAGTGTGATAGCCCACAATATGAGGATGCTGCAGTCCAGCCAGCACTTTAACTTCTCGAAGGACCTAAGAGGACAAAAAAAAATCCCAAACAACCCGGTATGACTGTTCTTTAGTTAGACTGCTTAGTAAACCCACAATATAACAAGAAGAAGAATTCCTGAGGAAAAATAATTTAAAAAAAAAAAAAAATCAAACAAATAATATTATAAAAATGGAGGAAATTTGGAAGCTTTAGAACAAACTACAATTTTTATATACGGATAATATAATCAAAATCAAGCTGGTATACCACAGTGAAAGTACTTAAGTATCTCTTAGTCACTTTTTCCTATTAGGTACAGATAAGGTCAAATCTATGGAAACACAGACTAACAAATGTAAATGCTGTTTTCAATTAATACTTCTTGAAGGCTTGAGAATTTAGTAATGCAGTTAGTGTTTAAATCAAAATCGGTTAGAGCAAACAGAGAATTAAAAGAGATGGGAGGAAATGAAATAAATAATACCTTCATGCAATCTCTTCTTGTAGCCTTCTTAATATTGATTTTTTTAATAGCATAGAACTGACCATCTAACTTGTTTCTGACCTGAAAACAATTGCAATACGACAAAATTATTTGCTGAAGTGTCTAAGTTAGTGAGCTATTAAAACCTTTAGAAACAACTATCTTCTATCAATTAATTTCTGCACTCTATATGGATAACTTCTTGCTTTCATCAGAAAGTTAAACCAGGACGAGGCTTTAGCTGTCTAGGATGAAGATTCAATACTTTTGCCTTATTTTCAGGGCCGCAAACTTCTAATCCAAACTTTGTGAAATACGCCCCTCTACAGCTATCTCATCAACAGAAAAATGCCAATAGGCCCTGATGACCAACAAGTCAGGTTCTCAGTACATCTGAGGGACCACAACTGCCATCTAAATGTGGCCTATCCCACTTGGGGAACCTGCACTTGGCCGTGCACTGCAAGTGTTCAGCAGTGTTCGACATCGGATGGACAGTTTGTGTTCCAACTGAAGTTGCCTTCTTTTCAAGCAACAACTGGAACGTCGGCGTGCGCAGACTAAGCAGAAAATGTAAACTTCAAAGAAAAACTAGCTATAAACCGTTAAGCTATAAATGAAAAGAATACCTTGTATACTTGGCCATATCCTCCTTTTCCCAATCTTGCAATCTCATCAAATTCATTCAAGTATCGTGAAGTCTGTGCTTCCAAGAGAACTTCTTTTTCCCTATTCAAAAATTAGGCTGCATTAAACTAAGTTACAACTTTCAATGAAGTTATTATATATGCCACAGGCAATCCAGAAATACTGTTTATATTATGAAAAGAAGAAAAAAAACCAATACCTTGGCATTGCCATACTGAATACTGAAACGCAACAGTATAGCACAGGCAGTTAGGGTGAGAGCACACTATGTGCCTCAAATCCACATCCCAAACTAATGCGAGTATTCAAATGATTTCTTTAAATGCATGCCAGGTAACTCTTGTTTTCCTTACGACCACATTAATGATAGCTGTTGTACTGAAGGAGATTTCATCAGACCATTTTGAGAGACTATCGAGAAATTTCCACTTTTTTCTGTGTTTCAGAAATTAAATACAAGATGTGGCACATGAATTAAATTCACACAGAACTCTAGGGAGGAAGTTGTTTAGTATCTTTTCAATGCTTTGAATACATACCCAATTGCACGAGAATCTCCATTATCAAGTTCCTATGAAACAATAAAATCCAACATAAGAACATGCCACACAGAGCAATAGGTCTACCATGCCATTACCACAAACAGCTTAATCAAAACAGAAACTAGAACTGCGTTCCTAGAAGAAAACGAGTTCACAGATACAGACAGCCATTCATTCTCGAGAGCGAACTGAAGTACTGCCCTACCGGTGAGCAGCTAAGGTCACTGCTGGAGAGAATGCTGCCCTTCAGAGCAACCCCTGCTGGCAAACAGGATAACACGAGGGCTCCAAAACATGCTCAAGACAGCATTAACTGGCATAGTTCAAGCAGACAGATGAATAAACCGCTCTGACTCAGCCTGAAGCTCAACACAAGGGTACAGTTAACCAGAGCAGTTAAAAGTCAGAATGCATGCCTGCCTGCTGACAAAAAAAAGCAGTAGCAATGTTTAGAACACTTTGCCTATGTTTAAAAAGAAAAAAACATTTTTTTAACACTACTATTTAATACAGAATGAAATATTTCTGGTTTCAAAAACATCGATTTGCACCTACAGATCCAGAACACACCATCTCAAATAGACAAGACAGAACTGGAATTCTATTTGTAGTTACTGAAAACAACCAATCCAGTATTAAAAGAACCCCAAAACAAAATATTCTTTAGATGCAATGTGTTAATCCCTAAACGCAGATGCTGCCAAACAAAATTAACAAAGCTTACCCCATTAAGTACTTGGCGGTTAGCTGCTTTCATTAGCTCAGTAATGGCTCTATTATGCTGCAGTCTTACAGTACTAAACTCATCACAGAAGGCAAAAGGGGAGAGCAAACCTGTTCTCGTGAAAGCCTGTCGAAGTACTGCACAAAGGAACAGAAAAAGGTCACATTAAATAAAGCTTGCCAATAAGACCATGTAAGCAGTTGTTTTCTGAAATGAGCAAACTTTATTTGAAAGAGAGTGCATCTGAAAACCTGAATGTTCAGTCACTTCTATCACAATGGCCTTTCCCATAGGGATAGAAGCTAATTAAACCCAAACTAGAGTTGCTCTGGGGGAATCCCTTTGCATAATGCAGCTAATTGCCATGCATTTCGTCGCATTTCCTGCTCTCTCTTATCTCAGCGGGTGAATCATTCAAACATTCACCTGTTCACTCCTTACCTTTGTACCACATTCTCTCAGAGAAAAGAGCAACTCAAAGCATGAGGACACCCATACAGTAAAGAGGCACTACAGTGTTATTCTAATTCCCATATTAGCTCACATTTGTTTAAGTACTGTAGTGAAGAAATCACCCACACCAAAATGCTGCATACTGCACAGCCAGGTTAAGCAGTGCTGCGACAGAAAGAACTGATACTGGAGATGGGTGCAACCGTAAAGACAGTACAGGAAATGTACTGCAAACACTTAGGAGTTGCAAGATCTTCAACTTGCTTGCAAGATTTTCTTTGGTACTGAAACTTCAAAATCAGCCTGTTATCCCGCAGTGGACATAAAGCACGCTGAAGTGAACCTATAAGGAACTGGGAATTTTGCAGTAAGAGCGTTATGGACACTTACATGCAACAGAAAAGTGGGGGGAAAAATCCACCCAGGCCAACATGACCTTAGTAGCCACAATCACAAAACAGATACGATTACTGCAGTACCACTTGGATACCAGCTTCAACTCTACCAATGCAGCACTATCATCTGCCACAGAAGCACACTGGGAATGGAACAGCTGCACCATCAGCAAGGGGCACAGGCTGCATCAAACCCAGGCTCCTGAGAGAGCCCGTGAGTAACCACACCTTAACCAAGACCCTCAGGTCATAAGGGGGGACCATAAGGGCTCAACTACTATTGGCTTAAATAAAACCCTAATAATTCCAGGATACTTCGAGTCTTCTTACTGTCAGAGCTGGCAGTTATCAGATCACAGACAGACCTCAGTCTGTCCAGGACAGCAGTGTCTCCCTAATGGTGCTTGTGCCTCTTAAGTTCAGCATAGACAGCTTAGGGATGATTCAGTTCTTCTCTTTTCCTCACGTTCCCGTGCCTCTCAACTCCCCCCTACACTTTATTTATAAATTTTGCATAACTGCTATTTTACTGACTGTACACATGATGGATGTATACCAGTATAAGTTGATCTCTACCTTTAAAATGTTGAAAAAAACAACCAGGTATTTTTAATTACTTACCATTAAGTAGGTAAGCATATGGCTAATGGTGAAATACTTCTGTAAGTTGGTGTCCCTACAGTTTTTCCTCTTCCTTCCCAATTCCAGAAATGCTTTATAAATTATTTCAATTACTGACATGATAGATAGATCTATCACATAGGGCAGCCTATACTTCGATAGGAAAGCCAACTTAGCCCTCTATAGAACGGAGAGATAAAGGATTGCAGAATAGGTTTACCTGTATCTTTGTAGAGATGTGACTTTTTTCCCCCTATATAATATTTAACATACAATGAAATAGACAAGTATAATGTTCCTACTGGATAAAAATCCAGTGTTCCTTTCTCCTGTCCAATCACTTCTAAAAATAGTTTGTCTTTATAATTAAGTGTGTGTACACATCACAGTACAGAGCAGTCTTACCTTTCCAAGGTAAATTCTGCTTTTATATAGTAAAGATCCAATCCCTCTGTCCAGCATCTAAGTCTCAGCCAGCACAACCTTTGCAGACTACTTCATTTTAACCTATATAGGTTTAACAGGTTAAAAAATCCAGTGCCTTAATATTTTACTCAAATGATCTTAAATCATGAGTTAGGCCTATCAGCATAGGCTGACCTTACCCACACAGGGTGACCTCCACTTCTTACAGAAAGTTTCTTTTTCATCAGTCCTAAGAGCTATTTGTGGTTGGTTTTTTTTTTTGGCAAGTTCTTTTTTTTTAATATAAAGATATAGCAAAACCTGGTGACAAATGCCTACACCAGATTTAAAGAACGAAAAAGTGAGTTGCCTGTTACTATAGGATGCTTCAAACAGAAGCAACATAACATGGCTATTTTTATTTTCTACAATGTATAGCATGTATATATACATGTATAGCAAGGAAAAAAAAATGAAAGATGGTTTCTGAGATCATTATATACATGCTTAAATAAACAAAATTCCTAAGATAAGCCACACACCAAAATGAACAGATTTCAGGAGAAACACCTCACGTCTAAGAACGCAAGCTCTAGAATTATGTCAAAGGACTCTGTTGAAAAACATGGGACTTCCAAAATCGCTTACTTTGACTTCAGAAAACATAATTTTGGCAGACATGGAGAAGACAATGCCACAGCTACTTCTTGGTAAATATTTCTAACAAGCCCCTCTTTTATCTGTGTTTTCAGATCCGATTTAATATCACCACAAAGCACAATCTCCCTCAAGCAAATTACCTTGCTTTCGCTTCCCTTCCTGTGACACAACTCTCGTGACTTAACTGAAAGAGAACTGCCTGTTCTTTGTACTGACAACTGCAGTGGCATTCATTTATTTATTTTTTCAGAAAACAGAGGCCCTCGGTACCAATTAAGCTGACTTGGAGTCTTCATCCTCTCCTGAGAACTACTCCTGTCACCCTACAGGATGAGGCCCGGAGCCTCTCACTGACAGAGCTCCACAATGCCGAACACGCAGGCACGTAATGCCGTAAGAAAGAACTGCTCTTACTAACTTCGGAACAAGCACCTCGAGTGCACAGGGTTGTGCGTGTACATGTGGCACAGGTGCTCCAGCAGCGACACCAAGAGCAGCTGGTTCTGGATGGTCGAAGTGAAATTCACAAACTTCTGCGACCCATTGGCCACTCGCAGTTCTGCCGGCACATCCGACTCTGATGAAGAGAAGTCACAGACCGAGTTAGCTCGCCTTACGTTGCCGTCCGCACACTGAATCGAAGCCCGCAGCGCTCCCACAGCTCAGCGCGGCGCGGCCTCCCAGAAAGGCACCGGCTGCTGCTAAGCGAGAAGTTCGAGGCGCTCACCGGAGACCGAAACACGACTAATGCTTTGAAATACCTCCAGGCGAACCGAACCGCCGAGGCTCCCGCGGCCGCCTCAGGCCTCCATCAGCCCCGGGGCCGCCGCTCCCGCTCCGCCTCTCCACCGGCGGCACCGCGGTGCTCCGACCTTCCCCACGCAGAAGGAGCCCCCCCCCCCACTCCCACCCCTTCCTCCCCGCGGCTCCTCCCGAGGACGCCCCGCGTACCGTCGAAGCGTGGCTCCGGGCTCTCCTCAGGGAATTGAATGGCGGGCGGCCGGCGGCGGGTCGCGGCCTTCGGGGCGACCTCCCGGCCCCGCCACATGCCCGGCGCTGCGCCCGCGGCCTGCCCCGCCGCCGGTACCTGCCCGCCTCTGCGCAGGGCGGGCCCAGGGCCTGGGCGGGCGCTTTACTGCCGCTCCTGGAGCAAAGGGCGGAAAAACGTTAATCGGGGGGGGAGTAACGGGGCCGGAGACAAACAGAGCCGGCAAAGGGCCCGGCTCCGCGCGGGCCGCCGCCTCCTCGACCCGGGGGCCGCTAAGCGCCCTGAGAACCGGCCTGCGGCCGCCCCTCCTCAACCTTACGGAGGTGGCAGCCCTCGGGCCCGGCTCTGAGCGGGGGTCGCCGTGCCCCCCCTAGCGGCTCCCGGCGGCGGCACAGGGGCGGTGCCGGTCCCCGAGTGACCCGGAGGAGCTCGCTTCTCCCCCCGCCGCCGCGGCCGCCGCGGCCGCCGCCGCCGCCGCCACCGCCGCCGCCTTCCCTCCCCCCGCCCGCTCGGCCGGCCGGCGCCGGGCCCCGGATGCAAGAGGCCAGCGGAGGGACGTCATTGTTCCCCGACGGGCTGAAAGCGGAGGCGGAGCGGGCCGGGCTGAGGCGGGGGCTGCGGCGAGGGGGACCCGGCAGCGCCGAGTCGAGCGGGGCCGAGCCAGGTAATGGGACCGGGGAAAGCGGCGGGCCCGGCCCGGCCCGGCCCGGCACAGCACAGCACGGCACGGCACGGCACAGCAGCACCGCGTGCGCCTCCCGCCTGGAAATCAATGGGCCGGGGGGAGGGGCCGGCCCGGGAAGGGGAAGCGCCCGGCGGCAGCCGCCGGCTCGGCTCGGCCCGGCCCACCCCGCACTTTCCCGCTGCCCGGCGGGAGGCCGGAGGGGGTGGGACCACCGGGCGGGGCGGGGCGGGGCGCCGCTTCCAGCACAGCGACGCAGCGGCGCAGCAATCGTCCGGCCCCGTGACCGTCCGGCACCGGCCGCCTCCCGCCGCCTCCCGCCGCCTCCGTTATGCGCCGCGTCCCGCCCGCCGCTCCGTCCTCCTCCCGCCGCCGACTTGCGGACCCGGCGCCGCTTCCCGCGTCCCGCCCCGGCCGGAGGGTTTTGCGTCGCCCAGATGCCGCTCGGCGGCGCCCCGTTGTTCCCGCCGGCTCGGAGCCTCACGCCCCGCCGCCGCCGCCGCCGCCGCCGCCGCCCGCGCAGGGGGTCCCGGCCCGCCTCGCCGCCCCACCCCCCCGGCTCCGTGGAACCCGGTCCCGCCTTCCCCGCCCCGTTGCCATGGTCACCGTCTCTCCGCGGGGCCAACCCCTCGTCGCTCCTGCCGCCGTCGGGCCGCGAAGCGCCGGTACGGACGCGGGAAGGGAAAAAAAGCGGAGCCGGGCCGGGAGGGCGGGCGTTGGGGCGGCACTCCGGCGGAGCAGGGCGGTGCGGGCCGTGGGGCGCTGCTGGGGGCGGGCGGAGGGGCCGCGCGGCCGTCGCCTCTCGGACGTTAGCGGCCGTGACCCCGTCGGCTCGGTTTTGTTTCGTGCGTCCGTCCCGCTTTGTACGGCCGCTGTTAATTTTGTAATAAGACGCGCCGCGAGCGCTCCCTCGATGCCGTGCACAAAGCCTTAAGCGGTGACTTAGGATCGCAGCATCGTCGCGGCTGGTGGATCTCGCCCGCACCCATCCCCGGCCCGGCCCCTCGCATCTCGCCGCTGCTCTGCTCTCCTCCGTGCGGGGCTGGAGCCGAGCTCGGGACGGGGCAGCGCTTCGTCGCCTTACCCGAACCGCTGACGTCTGATTTCCTTCTCAGTGTGTTGAGGAAAAGTCTGCAGACGCGAAAGTGCAGAGATAACACCTGAAGCACAAACCGTGTCCGTTCATTTTCGGAATATAGGAACAGAACTCGTATGTACGTATCTGTAGGATAGAGAAAAAGGAAATGCGGCCAATATCTGTAGCTTTAATACTTCTTTGTTAGAGATCAAATTAGACAGCGATGTAATTTGAAAAAGTGTATCTGGTGTATTCTTTCTGATGCTGGTACCTGCTTGCCACTGTGTTCTATTGGTATGTAATAATGGAGCCCTGGGCAGCCCAGTGAAATGGAATGTAAGGTTTGCCTCATTGGTCATTGCGGTGCTCCCGGGTTGTGTGGAATAATGTTCTTCCCTTTTCATTGCCGTTTTGATTGTTTCTTGTCCCTCAAGTTTTAAATATGTTGTTGAAACTTTTTCCCTTTCAATCAGAAAAAAAGGAGATGTCACTGGTATCTGCAGTTTGAAGACTGGATCTTATCTGAAAGTCACTGATCCCAGGCGCTGCCACCTTAGTCTTCCCATAGGACAAGGATGCCTTCGTTTCTCAGTTAAATGAATTTTTTAGTTTTGCTTATTGTTTTGTCTGAAATGAAAAATGTATATGGAATGGATTTGAAATGATTTTTTAACTGAAGATTTAAAGAGAAAAATATATAATTTGAGGCTATGCGCACAAGTTGTCATTTGTGGGACTCAAATTTACTGTGCTTTGTTCAACGTATTGTAAATCTAATGAATAGCAATCAAGTTTTGCCATAAATCTGAAGCCACTTCACGCTGTTCTCAGTCAGTCCAGTATAAGGAACTGGCTGATGGTTTCAATCCCTGCTAGGTTGGTTCCCTACACCTAGTGTGAGTGCTGCAGAAAACATTTACCCACGGACAGTGATAATTCCTCCCATCATTGTTCAGCTCCTTACTACATATACACAGTTACACGTCTTTAACGTGGTGTCATCTTGAAACCTAAGCAGCATTTCAAAAAGGACTTTAAATCAGTTACTGACGTTGTCCTTGAGGGCTGAGGGTCTTTTTGCCATTTCCTTTTTATAGCTTACATTCCTCTGTTGTTTTACAGCAGGGAAATGCAACTTTACAAAGTGCAACTGAAACAGAAAGCCCAAAAAGCATCTAACTTTTCAGCTTATAGGAGGAGTTGTGAGTGTGATAGGTGCAAAATAGCACTAGTAGTGCTGCCAGAGTTATACCCAAAGCAGTACTTTATGGAGGGGCCAAAGAAACTTTGGCAGAAAGAAGTGCACACGCATTTTCTTAGTCTCCTTTCCCAAGATTTCTCTGGGTGTTGAGGCTCAGAGGTATGCAGCTCGCAGGAGTGCAGAGAGGCTGAGTATCTCCTCCTGAATCTTAGCACGGCAGGGCATGGATGTCCCTCTGCTTATAGCTCCTATTGGCTGGGAAAACGCACCTCGTGGTACTGACCCAACAGCCCTCACAGACTGACTCAGAATCACTAACTGATGTGAGAACACTATGTAAAAGCTGTTATAGAATAGTATTTAAAAGCTGTTATGGTAGAATTGCAAGAAACCCTTTTTGACTGATACAGTAGACAGTGAGATAGAAAATGAGTATTGGAAAGAACGCAAAAAAGTAACAGCTAAATGCAGTTACTTTTGTGCACACAAAACGGAAACAGGCAGGCTTTAAAGTCGTGGTGCTCTAACACCAGCAATAGGTGAATAACTGCTATCCCTCAGAGAATGACTTATATGTTTTTATATTAAAAAAAATCAACACACCATAACTGTAATAGATTAAAATCCCTTGAAAGTGAAAATGTCATCAGTTGCTAGTTGTGCAGGAGTTAAGGTAGTACCCATAGAGTTTTGGTAGAAATTTTGATTTTGCATGTTTGGGGTTTTCTTTAAGTCCTTTACATGAGCTATTAGTGGTTAGCTATTCAATTCTTCAGGCTATTTCTTTGAGATTAAGTCACAGAATTTCTTCTGCTCTTCTCTTTGTGTAGCGCTGACATTCTTATGTCAACCAGCACTTCTATCTCTGTTGCAGATATGAACAATGACCATAGATAACAAGCCAACATCTTCAAAGGCCAAAAAATCCTCATCGAGACAATCCAGTAAACCCAGGAGACCCCGTACTAAAACTATGAAGTCACGCACTGCAAAAAACCAAAACCAGGTCTCTGAGAACGAAGGACGTGGAGGTGCTATTTATTGTAAATCATCTGAAAAAATTAGACCTTTTTCCGTTGAAGATTTAAGTAAGTGTGGTCTTTTATAGTGCTTCCATTTTCTTCAAAGCAAAACAAAAGTAGGAAATGCAGTTCTTACTTGTTGCACTGATGTGAAATGGGACTGCTGGAAATAAAGGCTTCAGCAGTAGATTTCAAGTTAGTGAATTGACAGAGACAACTGAAGCGGATCGGTGTTGCAGAACCTAGTCTTGATATATTTGCAGTCTATGCTGAAGTATGGGGATAATTTTTAATACACAGATTCATCCATGTCTTTGTTTTGCAAAGAGAAGTGCGCTTTGTTGTTGCCATGCACAAGTTTTTGAATGGTAACAGTGCTCTGGAGTGCTGTCTTCTCTGATAGTTGCTTGTTTTTACATTGCCCATCACCACCGTGTGTTACCAGCAAATTGGAGTGATGATATTAAAGCTGTCTGTAATAAGACTTTCTGGTTTGGATTATTGTTGGTTCTTGTGGATGCTCTTGCAGAATGCTATTTTTTAAATATTTGTTTTTTAAACAGAGCAAAAGCCCTTATGTTTTAAAATACAACTTTCTTGCAGTCATCAATGATGGAATTGCTCCACCAGAAAGGATTCTTTTTCCACCTGAGAAGATTTGTATGGATTGGCAACAAACACAAAATGGAGTTGGAGTTGGACTCTACAATCTTGGCAATACGTGTTTTATTAATTCTATTCTACAGTGTTTGACCTACACACCCCCACTCGCCAACTACATGCTTTCCCTTGAGCATACCCAGTCGTGTGAGTACTTGTAACACGGTTTGAAATCTGTGGGACAGCTCTGAGGTTGAAATAGCAGCAGTGATTCTCTGAAGAAATTGTACTTATCTGATTTTACCTGTAAAAGTTGGCTTTGAACATTGTATTAACAGTGGGCCCAGAACAGCATATGGAGTGATTTTGCCTTTAATGTAGCACGGTGAGGGAAGAAAAAAGAAAAAAAAAAAAGATTTCTTGCTTTGTGTAAATAATGAAACGCGTTGGAAAATAATGCATTTCATTTGGCATCTG